GGCTCATAACCATTCAGCCCTCATGCCTAGTGAAAACATTCCTCCCGGGCTCCCTGGTAGCATCATCAGTGAGCTAATGAATCTGCAATATTCTTTGCTCCCGTTTTAAGCACCTTCAAGTCTTATAAATGAGGTTTTATATGACTTTTGGTTGCTGACATCAGGAAGTGATTCAAAACGCGCTCCAAAAAAAAAAAAAAAAAGTTAATGTTGGCTGTTTCACCCACAGCACTTCAAATAAAGCCAGAGCCAGCCAAAAAAAAGCAGGGAATAACCATGGCCTGTTACCTTGGGCTACACAGTTGACTGAGCTGTGTTCATCACCCCCTCTGCAAATTTGTTCCTTGGGTAACCTCTGTAGGATCTTCCCAGGTCTTGTCTCTTGCAACCTGATGGCTCTCGAGGCCTTATCCCAGTCCCTGCAGTGTCCATGCTGCAGAAGCCAGTTCCTCCATCACTGTCACCTTGTGGGCTGTGCAGCCTTACCCATGTTGGGCATCTCAGCAAAAAAAAAAAAAAATACACTCTTCAGTTTTAGTCTTTTAGGCACCAGATGCTGGGAGCACCCATTCACCCAGAAGACATCTTCATCTGCTGCAACAGCTATGGCTGAGCTCCACATATGGCCGGTTACTTCATTCAATGCATTTTTTTCCACCTGTCACTAAGGAGCAATGGCTTTTTCTGAGGTCACCAGTTCTAAAGGTATTCACAAATACTCATAATTTTAGTAGCAGAAGCCAGGGCATTTACTGGCCGTGTAACTCCCCTCCTCGGCAATACACCAATAATTTATAGCTCAAGTTCTAATCACAAGTAGCATGCAAGTCATTAACAGCTGCTTTTGTAAGTAAGTGCTTAATTACTACAGGTCCTTCAAGAGCTTCATAGGTTGATAAGTTTCTTGTATTTATCCACCTTCTACTAGTGTGTTCATAAACATCTAGAAAGTAAAGCATTCAAGTTTGCAGCTAGCTCGTGACAAGCCATTGAGGAATGAAAGCTAAATAGAAAATGGAATCACAATAAAAGTGCTGCCATCCTCAAGATGCTGCTGTAGTTTGATGGGCAGGAGGGAATTTGGATGGCTTTTTTAACCTCTCTCATAAGTAATTTTTTCAAAAATAGGCTTGGAAAGCTTAAATCAATGGAAAATTCAGATCAAATTCAGTAAATAATTGTTAGCAAAAGGATGGAAAGAATTAAAAGATTCAAAGGGTTTTCTTTAAACACCTGAAATAACTTTAAACAAGATACATCAGTCTGGGGCACAATGCAAACTGTCAATGAGCTGGAATTATTGTTTCTATTTCCTTTCGTCCCCCCGGAAAAAGAGAGGCAAACTGTTTCAGTCCAACAAGAAATTATTTCCTATCAATTCAGAAAACCAAGACATTAATTACTGTATTCATGCAACTCTGTTCCTGATATCTTACAGACTCTCTCAAGCTGAGGGTGATGCTGAGCGCTGGCTAAGGGAAACCTCTGTCACAGGACACAAAAAGCAGCAGGTACATGGTATACAGCATAGGCCTGCAAGAGCTGCATCAGCTCCTGGGGCTTGGCCTCTCATCAGATGGCCAACGCCACCGTTTCAATGCATTGGCCAATGCTCAAGCAGCAGGAGCCATCAAGGATGGTTTCCTACAAGTGGTTAACACAATGTTTTCCTTGTGTGGTTCTGCTATGACTGCCCTTACAGGGCCACTGCAGGTTTAATTAAAATTAGTTTGCAAAGTCAACCATAAAATAGCATTTTTTTCCATTTCAAATACATGTAGATGTCTCTGTTAAAACAGGCAGGCCTTGCTTGCTTTCTGGAAGTGAGGAAGCAACAACAGGACCTACAAAGGGCTAAAACCCACCAGCAGCTTTACTTGAACAAGACACAACAAACTCCAGCTGCTCCAAAAACCAGCCTGGAGATACGGGCAGCCCCATCCCCCAGCCGCTGCCTCTCCTAGGTGTGATGCTAAGGCAGCTAAGCCAAACCCCAGGGGTTTTTTTGCCTTCAAACAGCTCCATGTAAGCCCTGAACTGTAGATGCCAAGGGAGGCTAAGAAAGGTTAAATGTAGCCTGTCAGATGCTGAAAGGCTGCAGAGTAGTGGGTTTCCCATGTCCTGCTCTGGTTTTGACACGTATCTGTCAGCCCCCCTTGCCAGCTACGGATGATCCTTCCTGCCTCCAAACCTGCTCTACAAAGTAAGTATGATTTCTGCAGGCTGTAAGAAACTATAGCACTAACAGGATTGCCATCGATGGCTTGTGTGAGGAGCTGTCACACGAAGCAAAAGCAAGAGGCCAAGAGTAAGGAGCGCAAGAACTTTGCTTGGTTGCATATTTTGGAATACTTTGCAGCTGCCCTGCCTCTGCAGCCAGCTATGCATTGGCCTCAGTGCAAGGCTGGATGCACGCAGGGGTCAAGGGAAGTAGCTGTGACATGTGAGCCCATTACTGGTACAGTCATCCCTTCACTGGGTTAAAAATTTGGGGGACACGGGAAATCAAAAACACTTACAAAAATGCTGTGATGAGAATTTCCTTATCTCTGTAAAGCTTCTACTAAAGGCAAGTGGAATAAATGTGAAAAGAGGGAGAAGAAAAGCCCTAATGGGCTCTCCTAGAGAAACAGATGGCACAGGGGAAAACCAGGATGCTCTTCCTTGTCTCCAGCCACAAAGTCCTTCTTTTCCCCCATTTTTCACAGACAATGCCTCAACTCTTTTGTAACTCTTAATAATTCTCAACTGAACCAGCAGAAATTGCCCCTACTGACACCAAAGACCTGCAGCTCATTGGGAGGAAATCGGCTGGGGGGGGACTGGCCTCTTATTGCCTGGGATGCCTCCATTTGATGCAATGTCCATCCCCATCCTGCCCCACGGCTGCTCACCCGCACAGCCACGCCATCCCAATGGCTCGTTCCTGCAGCCACCTTGCCAAAACATGCTATGAAGAAATCAAATGACAACGGAGAGGCTCCTTTAGCATCTGTAGTTCAGCTGCTTGCTTCCTGTTTTGTTTTATTTTGGGTTTTTTGGATGTCAAATACAGGAGCAGATGCTCCAGGCTGATGGGAGCTGACTGGGAGAGCCTGGCTGGCTGGAGGGCAGACAAGAGCGAGGCAGGACAAAGCTGATAACTATGGCCCCTCTCTGTTCAGGATGAACCCTTAATCCTTTTATTCACCCTCCTGCTACCTATGGGCTTTTTCTGGTTGTCTCTAAAAGAACCTTTTCTTTTTGAAAAAAAAAAAAAAAATCAGCTCATTGTAAGCAGTGGCACTTGGTCAGCCTAAATCCTGCCCAGGACACTTTCACTGGAGTCTTAAAAGAAAAGAACAAAGCCACAAGCACCATTTGTACCATAATCTTGCTTCTTACATCCAAATGAGAAAAAAAAAAAAGGTGAGCACAACATCAAAATGAGACCAAGAATAAGACAGGACTAAAGGAAGGCTCTTGCTACATCCACCTTTGTTTTCATCTTCAACAAAAAAACCTCCTAAATTTTGGAGGAGGCTGCAGCATTAAAAAGCAATTAAGTTTCTCCTCTTCCACTTCTCAACACTGAAATTATTATTTTTCGTGTCCCTGTTTGGATCAAATCAGTTCAAGAAAAGCAAAGTGTTTTCCACACCCAACACGAGGTCTAGGGCTAACTCTTGTTGCAGTAACACCAAGGGAATTCGAGGTCTCAGTGGGAACTGGATGGGACCAGAGTGAAACGCACTACTGCCCACAACACACATAAGGAAGAAACAGCCGAGAGTTTCAAAGAATGTTAGAAATAGCCGACAAATCACAGAATACTGAGCCACCACCGTGTCTTCACCAAACCATCTGGGCCAAAATACTGCTAGAATGAATCCTACATTTCACATCCATTCTGACGATGCATTTTTGCACCAGTTCCAGTAGATATCATGGAGTTAGTAAAAAGCATTATATCATTTCAAAATAAGAAGGCAAATCATGTATTATATATGTACATGTTTTAATTTTAAAATTGGTCTACATTTAAGGATAGATTTCAGGGGTTTCCTTTTTTTTTGTTACATTAGATTACACCTGAATAATCTGCATAGTAACTTTAACATTTCTGTTTTCTTTTTGTTTGTTTGTTTCATTGTGAAAATACCAGTTGCAGGTAGCAATGTAACATCTCAACGACAATCACAATACGTGCAGGATGTCCAGCCAGAAGCATTTCTCAGTTGACTTGCAGTAGCATGGCTCTTTATAGTTTGTGTATCAATACTCTTTTTTTTTTTAAATTAATTTTTTTTAAATTAAGATGTGGCTCAAGAAGCAAAAACAAACTTTCCTCGCTCAGCCTCAAGTGTGGGGTCAGCTCCTCAGCTGGCTGCAATGGGGTTTACTCCAGTTTATACCAGCTTGAGGTTCTGGGCTTTTTTTTTTTTTTTTTTTTTTTTTTAAAATACACTGGTATTGCCTTCACGCTTTCCTTAACATGAATGCAAACTTCAGGAATGTGGTTTGAGTTCCTTCATTAGAGGACTTTAATGAAGTCTGTCCAATGACTCTGTCCCCCAGCCCTGCTCCCTGCACAGATGCGAAGGGAGAAGGCTGAACACTGCCAAGAGCAGCGCACTGGGAGGTAAGAGGCCCTTGCGGGGGGGGGGGAAGGAATAATAATAATAATAATAATTAAAAAAAAAAAAAAAGCTAATTTTGCCCCCACTGTTAAACTTTGACATGCGAAGCATTTCTGTTTCCAGATGATCGGCCCAGCTGCTTAAGAAGGTATTCATATCACCTACTGCCACAGACAGACTCCTCAAATCAGATGCTCTGAGTCTTCTTACAGAGACTGCACTGACTGTATTAAAGCCTAACCTTGTGTGTCTCCATGAAATACCCACAATTAGGTGTTGTGAATACCGTCTCTCACCCCCCCATAACCTTTCTTCACCCTTAGAAAAAAGTGCTTTTGCTTTTTCTACCTGATAAATATTTGGGCTGCTTGATCCTGTCCCCTATCCCATGTGTTTGTACTGAGATCTGTCCCGAGGAATCTGCACTTGGTTGGCTGTCAGCTTGTGGTGGATATGGTAAACACAGAGGGTTATCACAATAACCAACCCCAGTATCAGGCCCAAAATCAGAGGCAGGGTTTCTTCTAACTGCTCCCTCTGGTCCACTGGGCACTTGTGCTCTGCAGGGAAAGAAAGAAAAGGAAAGAGAAAAGTGAATGAGACATTGCAAATCTGAACTGCTGCTGCAATAGCAAGCCAACCTCCCTGGAGCCACAGCTCTGTGCCAGGGGTCCTTGCGCGCAAAAATAGCCGCAGTAGGAAGGTGAGACAGCAACCATCATCAGAGTCCCAGGGAGAAAATCAATTGCTCTGGAAGAAAGCGAAATCACAGTCACAACGCAGGGTTTGGAGGGAGAGGTAACATCGATCCAACTTGCCAGCACAGTAGGAAAAAACACTTTCATGCCCACAAGCTCTTCTTCAGGCCTCTGCCACACCAGTACAGCAATGGCCCTGTCGTGAATGGGACAGCAAAAGTATGAGTTTCCTGACCGTGGCTGAAGATCTGCTTTGTTTATTTAGTTACAGAGTCCATAAATATGATAGCACAAGACCTCAACATCAATCAGTCTTTAATCCTGCATCACTTACCCTGCTCATCATTAAAAGGGTCCTCTCTATCTGCAAGTTGACAGAGATCTAACAGCATCTCTCCCCCTTCTCTATGAGCTCCCCATGGGGAGTTTACCACCACTGGCAGAGCACACGTGTTTGTAGTCAAACAGTACCCTGGCACCCCACGTTTTTTGTAAAACTTGGCAAAGAATGAGCAGAAGCAACATGAGCCTCCCCAGTGTTTTTCTCTCTAGCCTACATCTAATAAACCACTAGAAAATAATAATAACCACAGAACGGGAAAACACTTTTCCATTTAGCTTGGAAAGGCACAGCCACCAAGGGTAGGAAACACGTTACTCTGGCAATCCTGGTTCAGGTCCCTTACAGTTCCAGAGTCTACTGCAGGCCTGAATGACAGGATCACCATTTACATTTTTCCCCCCTGTGGGATTTTTGCTTATCGATGCCAAAGGACAGGCAGAGCCGATAATGCCAAGATTACAGGAGCGACTGTGGTCTGGCCCCTGGATCACCATCTTCACCATACTCGAATTGTGCTGAAAGCAATAAAACCAGCAATTACTTTAAGTAAAAAAAAAACCAAAAAACCAAACAAACCCAAAAAACCCACGAGGCTGCATGTTAGATGAGCAGATACAAAGGGCACTACTAATTCCTCCCATTGCTAAAGACTGTCCAGATGGATTCCCCAGGCAGCTGATTGCAAGATGCAGAGATCTGCCATAACCATGAACGGGAAACGGTCTGCAAATCTAACGGCATGTGGCAAAGAACAGGAAAAACCCAGAGACACCCCTGACCCAGGTGGGAGGGGACAGCAGGGACATTCTCTCCAGCGGTGCTGGCACCTCTGGGAGCACCATTGTCTCCCAGAGTGGAACCCTCCTCCCAGCACCAGGTTCACAGCGATGCTATCAGGAAACATTTTGAGCTGTAAATGAAGTGAAATGAAAAAGCAAAAGTGAAATGCAGTCTAACAAAAAAAATGTCCTTTTCAGTTCCAGTTGCTCACTGTTTCACCAGAGGAGTGATTAATCACCACGACTGTGTTACAGGCGATTCAGCAATTGCTGCAATGCAGGGGTTTTGTTTGTTTGTATTAAGGAAAAGGGAAAAAAATTCTGATTATTATTTAGCTCCCAAAATTGGGTTCCTAGAACTTTATGAAATTCTTCCCAGTTTAGGATGCTAAGGGCTGACCAGACTCGCAGTGCCAAGGCTGGCACACAACAGCAAATTGGCATCGCCAGACCTGACTGCAGGAAAAGCCAGGTGGGGCTCTGACCCCCCGACCTGCTGCTCGCATGCTGGTACAGAGCCCCTGCGACGGGAAGGATCTGTGCTAGAGGAGCTCCTATGCCATCCCCACGTGGCTGCAGATGGCCCGACTGGCCAGGGCATGCTGATGTGCCAATCTGCAGTGTTTTAGTCCAGGCACTGCAATCTCCTCCTGCGGGCACTAATTTTTGCTTTGAAAGTGATTTAGCTTCAACCCTACAGAAAATTGCAACAGGCCTGCTGTAAACCCAACAGAGGGCATTCATCTGTGCTCAAACACAGCAGGTTTGCCCATGTGCTTTTCCTTAAACAAGAACGAGGCTGCGCTCGCAAAAGAATGGGGTGAATGCGGGGTTCTGCAGCCAGTGAAGAAGGCAAAGCTAAAAGCACCAGTGCTGTGATGCAACTCTAATGCACCTGTTTGCAATATTTGAATTCCCATCTTTTGCCAAAGCAAACTGGCTGCAGGGCACAAAATGTGCCAGAGGACATGGCCAAAGCTCTGGTGTCTGCAGAAAGCCACAGCTGTATTTAAGTGTCTGAGTCTCAACTCAAGGAGGTGACAGTTCTTGCAAGCAGCCAAGGAACATAGTTCTTATCCTGACACTTTTTAAAGAGGATTAAAATAATAATAATAAAAAAAAAGCGCCTGCGGGGGCGGAAGGGAATCAAAGAAAAGCTTGCAGTCTCCAGCAGCGCACCCACAAACTCTGCTGCTCTCCCCAGCTGCACTTTCCCAGGCAGAGAGTGCTCTGCCCTGGCAGCAAAGCCAGCCTCACAGAGCAGCCACCTCTTGCCTTACCAACACCTTCTCCTCACCAGGACACATCCAAAAGGAGAAAATGGAGCAGATCACCAAAATCTGGGCTCTTTAAAGAGCATAAGGCAGAATGGGAACAGGGCTGTGGGGGACCCAGCACAACAGCACAGGCAAATGCGAAGCACAAACACATTTGCTCTATCTAAGGCTCTACACACTGCCTGCTAGGAGGGTACGTTCTGCATTTTAGCATTCATATACTGTTAAAACACATCATTTAACAACAAAAATATTTTCACATTTGGAACTGCATACTTCAACATTTATACTGCATTTTTCACCCCAAGCACAGTGCAGGCAGGTGGGCTGGTTGATGAATGACAAATGAAACACCTGCTATGTATTTTAAATCAACGCCTTCTGTGGGAAAACAGCCCTTTCCAACAAATTTTCCCCTAGTATTTTGTTTCAGGTCACAGGAATCTCAGCATTTGCCTAAATCGCTGGGTTTACCCTCAGTTCAGGAAAGCAAAAAGGTCCCTGGCAAATTTTAACTACATGAAAGGTTCAGGTGATGCTGGGAGTTTTACTGCATCCCAGACCTGGCAGGGCCACCTCGCAACCCCAGTCCCTGCCCTGTGGGCAAATACAAGAGAGGCATTTAGGTGGTGTTCTTTTGTGCTGTGCTCCCTCCAACACTGTGCAGCACCCAGGCTCACATACCACCACGGTTTCTATGGTGAGTGCTCGTCCAGTTTCAGTATTAGGCTATGAAACCACCCAACAGGCCCATTTTCTTGTTTCAGCATCCTTCTGCAGAACAAATAGCAGCAAGACAAAAAAAAAAAAAATAAAAAAAAATCAGCGGTTTCCTGCTGGATATTCCGGCACATGAGTTTAAGCATTCAAAACACCAAACGCAATCCAATCACTCCCTACAGGCTTTTTAATCTGTCCCAGACAGGACAGCATCAGGACTAATGACAAAACCTTTTTCCCCCATTTCTTTGTGGTAAAAGGGCCCTGACCCTCCTGCGTCTCTGCGGTTCTTCTGGTCTAACGGGTCTCTTTCTCTATTCTAAAATATTTTAAAATGTTCTGTATCTTGTTCATAATTAATAGGAATTTCACCTAATGGGAAATTAATGAACCAAAAAGGAGGCGGCTAATTACTGTAATTTAAGATTGGCAGTCATTCTCAGACCCCACAAAGGATCATGTTTTGCCATGCGTGTGCTGAGGACACACTAGTCTGCAGGGCTGGTGGGGATGTGCCGCTGGGAGAAGGGCAGAGCCCTGTGCGAAGCTTTGCTGATAAATGACCTGTTCAGCATTTCTGACCATCCTCTCCAGGTGCTCTTTGCTATTTAACTTCCAGTGGAACTAAATAAAAAGAAGTGTCATTGAATAATGAGAACAACAACAACAAAAGCAGAAAGCTTGACAAAGAAAGAAATGGTGCTTTCCTCAAAATTAAGAATTCCCCCCAACATGTTTAAAGATTGCTAAACCAACCGGGGTCTCTAACTACAACAATAAAGAAAAAAAATTACCACCTGATACAAAAGAGCATATAATGAAAAAGGCAGGTAGTCCCCTTTGGCAATGAATTCTGAGTTTGGTCATTTTAACTGTGAGCTCTGACTCCACATGTTTGGTATCGCAGAGACACAACAGCTAAAATTAAGTCCAGCCTTGCGTATTTTAAATACGCTCAGCCAAACCCCGAGTGTAGGAAGCCTGGATCCACAGGAGGAGGGAGAGGATGAAAATGTGCCAACACAAATGACAGGAAACCATGAAACTCTACCTTTTTCTCCCTGTAGCCTATGCAAAATTACTTGTACAGCAAAAAAAAAAAATTATTTGTGCCCACGGATGAAACACACTCCATACTACACTGGCCTTGCCACGTGTAATTTAGCCACGCAGAGCTCTACCACAGCCGCTGTACATAACAGTGTGTATTTACTACATCAGTTAGAGGAATGTGAGTCATAACAGTAAGTGCTCGGCTCTGTAGTCAGTGCTGGTTTTTTATTGTGTTCCAAAATATTTCCCACATGCAAAATAATAAAGCCCCAAGTTTTTAATGCTAGGCTGGAAAACACAACCACCATTTTCTAGCTCATTATTAAAAGATTTGGCTATTACAAAATCCATTTGCATCTTGTTACAATAATGGGGTTAACTAATTTGCTAAGGTGGCACTATAAAAAAGGGGCTAATTCAGGTGAGCATGTTTACACTCCCTCATTCAACCTGATGGAAAAGGCAGGGGGAATTTGGGGAGGTAGATCAGCACAGGTTCCACAGGATAAAAGCAGGAAAATCTGCAGGAATTCTGCCCCATGGCAGTATTGCTGCTGACTTCAGTACAGCCCTTTGACACAAACAGCACATGTTAACTCACATTTTCTTTTATCCATAATTAATGTTAAAAGAAACCTAGGAAGACAAACAGCATCCTCTTCAGTGTTAGTGCTTGGCACATGACGCGCCTCACTGAAGTCCCTGTTACACTTCCTCCGCCCTTGCAACGAGCATTAATCAAACTGAAGCCAGCAAATATTTCCTCCCACTGCAGCCCCAAGCATTCCTCAGTGTACTGTGGCCCTAAAAAGCCCCTGGAGCTGTACCAACACACCTCCTCTGCTGCAGGGGAAACACCTAAGCCTTGCAAGGCTCCCCAGGGACCAGGCAGTTCTGGGGCTTGCTGGCAACCCAGCCAGGTAAGTCCTTACAGAACTCAAATTGCCAACGTACAGGCAACAACAGCCCTTGTTTTGACCAAATAGCAGCTGGGCTGAACTTCTAAAGGCTTTTGGGAGACCATAGAGGCAGGGAATGGGTTGGAGGGACTTCAGGGAACACTGACAACCCGCAGGAGGGAAGGGAAGGTGCTCTGATAAAGGTGGGACCCAAATTCCTTCAGTATGTTGCGACACCCCCAAAGGCCATGGCAGCATCAGCATCTCGGGGATGCAGGACATGCCTTCACCTTGCACCTTACCTTCACTGAAGACAAAATCTGCAGTGATGTCAAAGGGCTGGATGCGCACTTCTGACAGCAAGAGCTGCACAGACTTCTGGTGGTCGCTGGAGATGAGGGAGATGGTCTGCTGTGCCTGGCACTCATAGGACTTCCCAGCCGGGGTGACCAGGGCAGAGAGCCGATGCGAGCTGGCTGTGTGCTTCCCGGCTGGCCAAGGGGCAGAAACAGCAGAGGTCAGGTCCCGTCTCTGGGGGCCTGATGTGACTTTATTAACAATGCTACTGGATCGAACACAAGGGTATGCAGTGTGCAATGCAGCAGCTGCACGCTCCACTGCTCTTAAAGCAGCATTTTTCCTCCTGGGGTGGGACCACGCTTTCGGCATGACATCCCCACATAGCCAAGGCCGTTCCACACTGGGGTTTTGCCTGCCCACAAGCAGGAACGGACGGCTGCAGCATGCAGTCCTGCCGGCACGAAGGGGAAGAGCTGGCTCTGCCGCTGCCAGCTACACTCATGTCACAGTGGGAGGAATGGTTTCTATCGATGTATATGCAATGTTTCAGACTTGGACTACGCTCATACTCCTGATGTTTGGAACCAGCAATTCCTGTGGCTGCACTTGGGCTCTGAATTCAGGTGTGAAGGAGCAATGCAATTTGGGGACCTCACTACAAAGCAAAATAGGCCATAACACCTTTCCAAAAAATACAACATGACCATTTCACCCAAGTATAGATTAAGAGAAAATAATTTCCCATCACACCAAACTTTTTTTATAAATGAAGGCCGAATGCGGCTCAGCAAGGTGGAACGAGGGATGACTTTCACCTCCCACTCTTCTGCAGCCCTTTGTTCCCCTCCAGCAGCACAGACAGGCAATCAGGGTGTCGCATTTGCAGAGGGTGAAGAGGCATGGCCACCACCATGTTTTGGGGACACAAACAGTAAAAACACCAGTGAGAAAAATAGTTCCACGTCCAGTGTGTCTTATGCCACAAACTCTTTAACGAACCATTCACTGGAGTCTGGAAATCTTGAGGAAGAACAACTTGCAAATAACAGTATTTCAATTTTCAATATGAGACAACTCATTTCTGAGCAGAAACAAAAACAAAATGAAAGCCAAAAGAAAGGAAACCCAGTGAGAAAAGAAAAGGTTGTTGGGTGCGGAGGCTTGTAGGAGTATGGATATTGATACAGATCTCATTGTTACCTTGGGAAACGGTTGCTTTCCCACCTATTCAACCATCATCAGAACAGAGGAGATAATTAATCTTAAAAAACACCTCTGGCAGGAAAGGAGACAAATTTTT